GTCGTATGGGACATCCTCCAGTCTCGAAATTGTCTGTCTTACATGATATTATTCCTGCCATAACATTCAATAAGCACTTACATTGCACCATATGTCCTATAGCTAAACAACAAAGATTATCTTTCCCAAGAAGTGACAACAGAGCTCTAAAGAGTTTTGACATTATCCATTGCGACATATGGGGACCCTACTCTCTCCCTTCACTGGATGGTTCTCGTTTTTTCTTAACCATCGTTGATGATCATTCTCGCATGACTTGGACCTACTTAATGAGAGATAAGTTACAGACCAGACCTATAATTCACTCCTTTTATCAAATGATTTTTACTCATTTTGACTGCAAAATAAAGGTCCTCAGATCTAGCAATGGATCTGAATTTATTATGAACGAATTCATTCAGTCTCATGGTATACTCCATCAGCTGAGTTGTATTGAAACACTTCAGCAAAATGGGGTTGTAGAGAGAAAACATCAGCATCTGCTGAATGTTGCCAGAGCCATCAAGTTTCAGGCCAACTTACCTCATAAATTCTGGAGGGATTCTATTCTTGTTACCACGTATTTAATTAACAAAACTCCCACTTTGATTCTAGGTAACAAGACACCTTATGAGGTGTTATATCAAACCTCACCATCTTATTCACATCTGAAAGTTTTTGGTTGCCTGTGTTACGCTTCTAGTATCAAAAGAAACCGTACCAAATTCGACCCTAGAGCTATTCCTTGCATTTTTCTTGGCTATCCCTATGGCATGAAAGCCTACAACCTATATAATCTCCTAAGTCACAGTGTCTTTGCTTCTAGGGATGTTACTTTTCATGAGACCATATTCCCTTTTCATCATCCTACTTTCCTTCGTTCACTATCAAATTCTGATAATTCATTTCCCTCTTATCCATTTCTTTTTCCATCATAGAGTTGTGATTCTTCACCATCTGCCGTGATGATTCCAAATCTCGATAATAGCATTTCCATTGAGCTTACTGATATCAGTTCATCTCCTAGTCCTTCTACTTCTCTTCAAATCAATAATCCTCCCTCAGCTCCTTTACCTGCTCCCATAGCTCCTATTAGACAATCCACTCTTTCTAAAAGGTCTCCTACCTACCTTCAAGATTATCATTATAATCTTACATCTTAGGTATCCCATTTCCATTCTAATTCCATGAAGAAGGATCATTTGGCTGGCAGGCAGTATCCTATTGCTGCATTTCTGGATTATAGCAGGTTATCACCTGCTCACAAAAGGTATTCTCTTGCCTTATCCGCTTTATCTGAGCCAAGATCATATGAAGAGGCAGTCAAAAATCCAGATTGGTGTAAGGCCATGGAGGCTGAGTATCAGGCACTGGTATTGAATAATACTTGGACAGTGACTACCTCACCTGCACATAAAAAGCTTGTTGCTTGCAAATGGGGTTTTAAGGTCAAACTCAAATCTGATGGCATTGAGGAAAAAAAGAAAGCTAGGCTTGTTGCTAAAGGCTTCAAGCAACAAGCTGGCCTTGACTATGAAGAAACATTCTCGCCTATTGCTAAGTTAGTGACTGCAAAGACTTTACTGGCAGTGGCTGCTCATAAGCATTGGCATCTCCATCAGGTAGACATAAACAATGCTTTCCTCCATGGTGAACTCGATGAGGAAGTCTACATGTGGATGCCTAGGGGTTATGAGCAGCAGGGGGAGTGTGGTGAGAAGCTTGTCTGTCGTTTAAACAAGTCAATTTATGGGCTTAAACAGGCATCTAGACAATGGAACACCAAGCTTACTTCATAAATCATTTCACAAGGATTCAGTTAATCTAAATCTGATTACTTCTTGTTCAGCAAACAGGAGAAGGGATCCTTTACTACCCTGCTCATTTACGTGGATGATATCATCATAGGAGGAGATAATCTTTCATATATTGAACAATTCAAAAGAGAGTTGAATGAGCAATTTAAACTGAAAGACTTGGGGGTGTTTTGAAGTTCTTTTTAGGGATGGAAGTAGCTAGATCTGCAAAGGGTATCTTAGTGAATCAGAGGAAATATGCTCTGGATGTGTTGTCTGATGCTGGTTACCTTGGTTCCAAACCTGCTAAATTTCCTTTACCACAGAGTTTAAAGCTCAGTAAAGATCAGGGAGAACTCATTGAGGATGCCAGCATGTATAGGAGATTAGTAGGGAGAATCCTATATCTAACTATAACGAGACCGGATCTGTCATATGCTGTACATGTTCTCAGTCAATTTCTTCAATCACCAAGAAAGCCACATTTGGAGGCTGTCACCATGTGCTACGATATCTTAAAGGAACTCCAGCACAGGGGTTGTTATTTGAAAGTGAATCTGGTATGGTTCTTAAAGGGTTTTGCGACGCTGATTGGGCAGCGTGCTTAGACACAAGAAGATCTATAACTGGATATTGTGTGTTCCTTGGCAATTCGTTAGTGTCTTGGAGATCAAAGAAACAACCTACAGTCTCCAGATAATCAGCAGAGGTAGAGTACAGGTCCATGGCTGCAGCTGTGTGTGAGTTAAGTTGGCTGAGAAACATTCTTGATGATCTTGGAATTAAACATAACACAACTGCCTTATTGTTCTGTGACATCAAGTCAGCAATCCATATTGCTAGCAACCCGGTATTCCATGAGAGAACCAAACATATTGAGATCGATTGTCGCCTTGTGAGAGACAAGGTTCAACTTGGAGAAATAAAGATGCTTCATGTTCCATCTCAAGATCAGTTAGCAGATATTTTAACAAAGGCATTGGGAGGAAATCGTTATAAGTATTTGGTTGGTAAGATGGGAATGTTGAATGTTCATCTCCCATCTTAAGGGGGAGTGTTAGAATCTATGTAAATAATGTAAATAGTAGAGGTCAGTTTAGTCATTTTGTTTCCTTCTATTTTCTATAAATACGGTAGTTTTGTATACGGGATAGATATGAAAATTGAGTTTCAATAGAAATTGGGGATAACAATTTTTCCCGCCAATTACTCTTCTTCTCCAGCTTCTTCCCTTCATCTATTTTCACAATTTCTGTAGAAAGATTGATGCTGAAGTGGTGATGCCGGGAGGGATGTTTGGCTTTTATTGATTTTTCAGTCCATCTTGGCAAAGCTGAAAAGCCTTGGGCGATGACCAGCTTTGAATGCTAATGGACTTAAATCAAATGTCTCTCGACTGTTCTCAGCTCCTTTTAAGCTATGAAGTTACAGAACACTGGACATGAAACATTTGAAAACGTCAATAATAAAAACGATAGGTTATATAATCCACGAGTATTTCTTTCGTAGGAAGTGTTGTCTCTTTAAAAGGATTAACTTCGTGAAATTAAAAATAGTTACTTACAGTCCATCTGGCAAAGTTGAAGAGCCCTTCTTTTAAAAGGCCATGAGCAGTTTTGAATGCTGATGGACTAAAATCATGTCTCTATAAAATGTTCTTGGCTTCTTTTAAGATATGAAGTTGCAGATCAGTAGAGATGAAACATTTAAAAAATGTGGAATCACTAAAAGTTACTGGATATATAATCAACAAGAATTTCTTCCGTAGCAAGTGTTGTTTCTTTAAGACAATTAGTTTTTGTGCAATTGAAAATGGTTATTTCCAGTCCATCTTGGCAATCTTGAAGTGCTATTTTCAAAGGGGCGATGAACTGCTTTAAATGCTAATGGACTCGAATCAAATGTCTCTCTAAACTGTTCTCGGCTTCTCTAAGCTATGAAGTTGCAGATTAGAGATGAAACATAGCCCTTGTTTTGTATAGATTCTTTAAAACTCATATTTTTTTTTAACTCATTTTCAACCTGACATTCTCTCAATAAAATAAATTTTCACGTGGACCCATTATTTTTCCCTACTTTTTAACCACACATTTTGTAGAAAAATCACTTTTTCACAAAATCCATTCTAACAAATTCTACATATATACACTAAATATGACTGGTCACGTAATCCATAAGTATTTATTTTGTGGAAGTGTTCTATTGATAGGGATTAGTTCTTGTGGAATTGAAAATTGTTATTTCCGGTCCTTCTTGGCAAAGCTGAAGAGCTCTTGCCGAAGGGCAATGAGTAGTTTTGAATGCTAATGGACTAAAATCAATTGGCTCTCTAAACTGTTCTCGGCTTCTCTTAAGCTATGAAGTTGCAGATAAGAGGAAATGAAACATTTAAATAAGTAGTACCGTTATTATAATTTTGCATGGTTATTTAACTCATGAATATTTGTTTCATTGAAGTATTTCTCTTTAAGAGATTGGTTTCTTTAGAATTGAAATAGGTGTTACCAATTTTCCAGAAAGCTGAAGAGCCCTTTAAGGGCACTGAGCAGTTTTGAACGCTAATGGACTCACATCAAACATCCCTTTAAAATATTCTGAATTCCTGTTGGTCTGGTGTTGCAGAATAGTGGGGCTGTAACATTTCATAAATACGAAGATATATGTATAATATATAGACAAACTTTGATCTAGGAAATTCTTTGTAATGTAAGATTTATCCATATTATTGGAAGCTATAATCAAACAATTGAAATTGCTTGTATGTAAATCGCAGTAGATTTCTCGTATGGCCAGATCTTCATGTGTGTTCTATTATGTTTCATGGACATGTACTTGAAACGTTGACACTTGATTTTTCATAACTGTAGGACACAAACGTTAGTGATTTCGCTGAAGCAATGCAGTGTCCCTTCACTTGTTTTCATCTTAGTATTTGAATAGTTCCTTTCTCAAAATTGTTATGCCCTTGTGTACAATACTCTTGCTTAGTCTGACCAGAACTGTGGCAAATTGAGTGCTTCTTTTAATTTTATTTTCTGGCGTTGCTAATTACATTATGCTGACTCTTTTATGCAGGAAGACACATGGAATGGGAGCTGGTCGCAAGCTGAAGTCGCATCGTATCAGGCAAAGGTGGGCTGATAAGGCTTATAAGAAATCCCATCTTGGCAATGAATGGAAGAAGCCATTTGCAGGCTCCTCTCATGCAAAAGGAATAGTTCTCGAGAAAATGTTAGAAATTGCATGTATCTTTCTTTTTCCTTGAAAAGCCTTAACTACCATGTTTGTATCTCATTTCCAAGACTGAACTCGTGCTACTGAATGAATTTCATAGTGGTATTGAGGCCAAGCAGCCAAACTCCGCTATTAGAAAATGTGCTCGAGCTGATTAAGAATGGGAAGAAAATGTGAGTAGTGTGATAAGTTTTTCGGCTATTGGTTCATTTATCATCCTTATCGTGCTTCCTTAATCTTCTTGTTGACTTAAAAAGATTTATCTGATTGACGTGTAGGATGAAATGCTGATTGCTGGATTTGGTCGTAAGGGGCATGCTGTCGGAGATATTCCTGGAGTCCGGTTCAAGATCGTGAAGGTATCAGGTGTATCTAGAGACGGACCCAACACCCAGCCAGGAGGGACGGCCACTCGTGCTGGGCTTCGCCGAAGTAGTTTTTGGGAAGACGTGGCTACTGGGCGAGGCACCGTCATCTTCCTTCCGTCGGGGACTGGTTCGTCTTCCTCCTTTCTGGAGTTCTGTAATCTGGTTTCTTTTTTTTTTTTGTTATTACATTGGTGATTGGGCCTTTGCTGCTCAGCCCAGCACTTATCCTTTGCTGCCTAGCCCAGACCAATTATTTCCAAAATTAAAGGATTTGAATAATACCGTATTAACTGATTAAAACCTTTAACCACGTAATTATTACGTTCCAAACCCCCAAAATTCCAAATCCCCTGATTCCCGATTCCAGAAAACTCCTAAAGGACCTAAACGATTACAGGGAAGAGATCCTCAACTAGGAGACGACTCCACCCCTGATCCTTACGGACCTTACCCACAACTCAGGTTCTCCTCACCCATTACAGATTTCGAAATTATTTCTTTTTCTGAATTAAATGGATGTAAAATTCATGGGTTAGCTGCTTTACAATTGGAACAAGGAATGGGTTTAAAATCTTCAATTGTAATACTGGAAGTCTCCTTTATGGATGAGGTATGTATATGCATGCATTTGATTGTCAATTGAAATTCTATTTTTTATGGCTTAATTTTGTTTTTTAAAATCACCTATTGAAATTGGATATATTACGGTTAAGGAATTGTCAATTTTTATTACATTTGTTTTTCTTATGGCATTTCTGAATTAATTAATGTTTAGGATGCGGGAGTTCATGTGTTATCAAATGTGCGCCATGTGAATGTCGAGAGAAGAAGCAAAAGAAAACCTGGTGAAGTGGTAACTAACTTATCTAGAAAATACGTCCCGATTTTATGTTTTTCACTTGAGCTTGATAGTCTATTCCTTTTCTTGAATGCATTTGTGCTTAGAGGGAATGTTGTGAAAGTTTAATTGAATTTCATTAAGTCATCAAGTATTATATTAGATATGTAGTCTTACAAAATCAGTCATTTGCTAGTGTATTTCGGGATCCCTTGTTGCACTATAAAATTATAAGGTTTTTGAGGTTGATAACGGGTTTGAGGTGTCATTCCCCGTTCTACTGCGTGGTCTAGGCCCCGGTCCCGGACGTATTTTATGGAGGCTACGGAGTCGTAGAGGGCACGACGCTTCTAGAAGAAGAGGTGGTGTTGGCGGCTACGGAGGAGGAGGAAATGCATGAATAACTTGTGTTGTTTCGTAGCTGAAAGGAGCGGTGGAAAAAAATGTCGACATTGATTGTTAACGTCCGCCCAGGCTGAGTCTCGACGCTGGATCCGTCCCTAGGTGTATCTCTTTTGGCACTCTTTAAAGAGAAGAAGGAAAACCCAAGGTCTTGAATGCCCAGTTGGAAGACACAGCTTGGCTGCAGATATTGCAGTCCATCAAGTTCTCTCAATTTTCTTCTACCCCACCTCGTGTCCTTTCCAGAGTTTAGCATTCGTTCTATGTTTCAATTTTGGAATGTAAAATATCTCGACTGTTAATTTTATGGCCGTTCCTCTTGACTGTAACTACTATTTTCTTCTCTCGTATGCTTTATCTTCCTTTCTTTGCTATTTGAGTCCCTATATTTTCTTGGTTTGCCAATTAGGTCATTGATGTGTTACTGCGATTTGATGTTTACTCGTTCGAAGGTTCAAAAACTATATATTGTCCTGTATGTCAAAAGCACCAAAATATAGAAAAATCTACAAATAGCTGGAGACATTTGTTGGGGATTGAACCAATATACCAAAGAAGCAGCGAAAACAATTAATTCAACCCCTCAATGCACAAGAATTAAAATCGCAGCTATAATAAACAAATCCAACAAACTCACACACACTAGCA